GTGACCAATCCGAAATAACTTTAATAATCTCTTTCTATATTTATTATTATTATTATATTATTTATTATTATTATATATCTCTGTGCTTTCTATATTTTCCAAAATCCTAAAAAGAGTTTTGTGCAACAGTTCAATGTAATATATTCTGTTATATATAATAACATCTTGAATATATTACATTGAACTCCAGAATTTATTACATATTCTGTTGGACCATGTGCAACAGAATATGAATATTAAAATTATGAATAACACCTTGACGAAAATAATTTGTCTGCGTATAATATTATAAAAATATAATAATTTTTTTTGACATATTATCATACTAAAACACCCTCCCACACACCCCGCGCCGGCCTTGCACTTGCATACTGTAACATACTGGTTTCTTTGATTTCTATTAAAGTTGCATTCTAGAATAAGGCTTTAGCTTTCATGTTTTTTTTTTTTTTTTTATCAAAGAGAGGGGGGGAAGTAGTTTAGGGGCCCGGATTAAAATTTTGCGGGGAGGGGCATTTTCTGTCGCTACTGTTTGCAAGTAGAAAAATTTGTAAAAAAAATTTAATTGTAAAATTCATAAATATGTCATCTGGTCACGTGTGACCGCAACAAAATGATTTAAACGTTTTCTGTCTCCAATTTTATAACAATTTAAAAACTACTGACTTGTTAAATCAATATTTATATTATCTTCATGAATTAAATTGCTATATCATATTTATTGTATGACTTATCATAGTAATAGTAATACAAACTGCTGTAACGACGATTGTCGCGGAGTATAAAGTTTAAAATTTATACTTTAACAGCCGTTAACAAATGTTTATCTAGTCTAGCTTTAAAAGAATTTACTGTCATTGCAGAAACCACTTTTTCAGGTAAAGCATTCCAATGAGGTATCACTCTGTTCGTAAAAAAATTATGTCTCGGTGTTGTTTTTGCAAATTCTCTTTCAAATTTCATTGGATGACCTCGAAGTCTCTGGGAAGAAGCTTTATTAGGCTCATTATACCACAATATCTCATCAATCCCAGTTGTTAATTTGAAAAAAAGCAATGAGATCTCCTCTTATACGTCTTGTTTCCAGAGTTGTGAGGCCCAACTTTGTCAATCTTTCGGTATAACTTAATTTTTCGGTATGTTTTAGTTCAGGGGCTAGCTTTGTTGCTCGTCTTTGAATTTTTTCTACGTCATTGATATTGTTTTATTACTTGGACTCCACACTGGAGCTGCGAATTCCAAGTGTGGTCTAACCAACGATGTGTATAGTTGCCTTACCATTTTAGTGTTAAGATAAGTAAAACTTTTTCTTATTAAACATAAGATTCTTTGTGCTTTACTTGTAGCTACTTGAACCTGATAATTCCATTACATATTGGATGAAACTATTACACCCAAGTCTAGTTCTTTTGTTGTTGTTTTTAGAAGAAAACTTTGATTCTCGTGCTTTATAGTGAAGTTATAGTTAATATTTTTTCTTCCAATGTGCATAACACTGCATTTATTTATGTTAAAGTCCATTAACCATACATTTGACCATTCAGTTAACAAACCAATGTCATTTTGCATATTAGTTAGATCATTATGTTCTTTTATAACAAATATGATTTTAGTATCACCAGCGTATAATTTTGCGATTGAAGAGATACATTGGGGAAGATCATTGATATATATCATGATTGTATTTTTATTTTTAATTTTGTTTTTTAATGTAACAAGATAACAACGCAATATTAAATGGTTGCTGTTTTGATCAAAGACTTCAATTTTTTTTTTATTTATATAGTGAGAATGTGTAACCAATAATATATATATATATATATATATATATATATATATATATATATATATATATATATATATATATATATATATATATATATATATATATATATATATATATATATATATATATATATATATATATATATATATATACAGTATGGTGCAAAACTGAACCAAAGTTTTTAAAAAAATACAAAATTATGGTTTATTTTGTTTTCGATATATTAGCGCTGTCTGGATTATTACAGTAGTAAAGTGCTAATTTTTATGACTTTTTACGCCTCCTCCTTTTACCCCAATTCACAAGTATTTTTATCTAGTGACAAACATCTTTTGACTCAGTTTTGCACCATACTTGATGAAGGCAATATCTTTATTATTTTTCTCAAATTAATTTTATAATTTTGAGTGCAAATAAATTGACTATATTTATATCTAAAATAATTTTCTGTTTTCATAAATTTTATTGTTTAAATTTATTGCTTTTGATAGTTTTTTAATAAAATGAGAATTTCAAAGACAGAGAGCAATTTAATAAAAAAGATGATCGAAGAAGGAAATACAACTCGTAAAATTGCTTCTAAATTAAAAGTTAGTCAAAGTACTGTGCAACGAATTAGAAAAAAATGTGGACATATTCTGAAAAAAAATGTTGGCGGTCGACCAAAGAAGTTGAGTGCGGTAGACAGTAGAAGAGTAATCAGATATTTGACTACTGGAGAAGCAAAATCGACATCTCATGCAGCTAAACTTTTGCAACGTGATACAGGAAAAAATGTGAGCAGGTGGACAGTGCAGCGAGATCTCATAAAAAGTAAATTTCGAGCAATTGAAAAGAAAAAAAAACCATTACTTAGTAAAAAAAATATCAAAGCAAGATTAAACTTTGTAAAAAATATGAAAACTTTACCGAAGATGATTGGAAGAAAGTTATTTGGTCAGATGAAACTAAAATTAATCGGTATAGCACAGATGGCCGCCAATGGAGCTGGAAAAGAGAAGGTGAACCATTAACCAAAAAAGATTTTATTCAGACAGTAAAACATGGGGGAGGCAATATTAAACTATGGGGGTGTATGACGGCTTATGGATTGGGACCTATTCGAAGAATAGTTGGAAACATGAATAAGGAAATGTATCTTGATATTTTACAGCATGAATTATTGGAAACTGTTGAAAATATGCCTTACCCAATAAATGAGGTCATCTTTCAACAGGACAATGACCCAAAGCACACTGCTAAAATGGTTAAGAATTGGTTAGCTTCGCAGGACTTTCAAGTGCTAGAATGGCCAGCACAAAGTCCTGATTCGAACCCAATAGAAAATTTGTGGTCACAATTAAAAAAAGCGCTCGTTAATAACTATTCTGACCCTCCATCATCCATTAATGTGTTATATGAACGAGTTCAAGAACAGTGGAAAAATATTTCGTTAAACCTTTGCGAAAATCTTGTAAAGAGCATAAATAGAAGATTAGCAGCAGTTAAAAAAGCTAAAGGATTATGGACAAAATATTAAAAATTGACAAAATTGACAAAAATTGACAGTTTTTTTATCGTGGTGCAAAAGTGATTCACCATGTTTTTCATTTATTATTTTGTAAGTAAATATTTTTCTTCAATAAATACTTAATAAAAATTGTTTTTTTAATAATAGTTCCTTCCAGCAATATTAATTCTCAAAATGCTTAATTCTTTATAAGAAAATAAAAATATTATGCTTTCTGGTTCAGTTTTGCACCATACTGTATATATATATATATATATATATATATATATATATATATATATATATATATATATATATATATATATATATATATATATATATATATATATATATATATATATATATATTATATATATATATATATATATATATATATATATATATATATATATATATATATATATATATATATATATATATATATATATATATATATATATAAAATACAAACAAAAAGATTTAGAAAAAGGCATTTGTTTTACGTAAACCGTTACATAAAACTTTTTTACAAACTTGTATTACGGTTTCGCCTTAAAAAAAAAAACTGTTTACGGAATACTTTATAATATCCTTTACTATACGGTAAATTGTATACTGAATATTTAGTATACCGTATACAAACGATCCCTAATAAATACGCGTCGCAAAAAAGTACTCTTAAAAAAGTTACACCAGAAAGACACCATCCATTAGCAATAAGCAAAAAACATTTGCGTATAAAATTACTCAAAGTCAATATTTTGAAAAAATCATGGCGTTTGAAAATACAAGATATGCATGTATTTATATATTGTATTTTAAAGTATCATTTATACCTTGTATTTTAAATTTAAGTTTGGGTGGAAATTA